ATTCGATTGACAACTTTCATGCTCTAGATCACATCGATCACCATATCTATTCAGCGGGCAAATACAGTAGGGTAATGAACTTCCTCGAAGTAGACCTCGATAATGGGGCTTGCACAATGCATTAAATGCACAATAACCATTAGCACAATCTTTGTCTGCTACAGAACACCTCGATGCAGTGAAATTACTTTTACAGAGACAGATATGTTGACTTGGATTGTTCATCAGTGGCTGACATTCTTCATTTTCATGGCAAGGATTACTTGAACAAGGATTACTATTTTTAGCAGGTTTGATTAAGTGAAGAACTTTGCTAAAACGATAGACAGGGAGGTAATCAAAGTTGATGGGATACTGCCACACTGCAATTAAGGAAGGTCTATGTAGTCTATAATTTTCATAGGCTTCGATCCGAATCGAATAAGGTTGAGAAGCAATAATATCCGAACGATTGATGAATCGTGTCTTCCGTTGTTGACGAGAAGTATTTGCATGCGAGTAGAGAAGATGCACCATCTTCTTTGTGATTGTAGTGATTTCTAATGCTGGACGAACATGAAATTGATGTGTCATTAATATCTGATTGTTGAAAAACAAAAGAACAAGTAGTTTCACAATAATGTTTGGATCACTTTCGGTTGTATAGATGGAATGAGAGAGGTTCAGATGAAGAAGAACTAATAATCGATCAGCATGATATTGACATTTCTCACCATAATATTGTGGTGGGCAGAAACAAACGATCGAATGATTAGATGATAAAATACCGATACCACGATTGCACATATAGGCTGCTAGAGAGTTTGAAATAGATCTATTCAATGACCCATTTGTTTTCGGCCATGTTCCAACAGTAATATGAGGATTGTTGAGGGTGATGTTAACATGAGTAGGGAATCTAGACAATTGAAGAGTTGGTGAGTTTAGTTCAGTTAAGAGCTGTTTTGCTTCCCGATAAGGAATAATCTTCGATGCATATGAACTCAAGTAATCACACATGTACTCATCTTCACCTAAGGAACAATCCAAATGACCATTGCATCGACTATTTGAGATACAAGGACCATCGAAACACACGAAATCTCTCTCACCCTCACAATTTAGTGGTTTCTGTTGCCAAGAACACCAATGTTCATCATCTGTTCGATTAGGACATCGATACTCATCATGGCAATGAAGGTAATAGGGAACGCAAGTGTTCGTTGATGGACATAGAAAATTGTGGCCAAGCATTGATGGTTGAGAACAATGTTGAAATGTATTTCGTTCGTCGATTGCCCCTGCACAATCAACATTATTGTCACCAAGTTGACTTTGATTGATACATGAAAATGTTTGACTGAATGTTGGGGGCAACAAACAGATCATTGTCGAATTTTGAAGACAATTCTTGATGAGCAAGTATGACTGATTAGCAAAGATATAATTCGATTCTATTTGCTTTTGTACATGTGCCATCCTTCTTTGAAATTCGTACTCCTCATCCGAACCATCAGCACAATCCCATATATTATCAGCTTTCCAGCCTTTCTCAATGCATTGTCCTGTTCGACATTGCCATTGATTTGAAGCACATATCCACCACTGTCGACACTCATTGATATCCTCATCTTTACCCGACTCCAGGTGCCAGAATGTATCGCAAAAGAAGGGAAAACGGATTCGAGATTCGAGAAGATTGGCGGTATGATTGATTGAACTCCATGATTGTTCGATATATTGACGAAGAAGAGAACATTCATCTTTCCATCGATCATTACAATTCATTGCAGATAATTTTCGATTCGTGCCAAACCATGATTCATCGAATTCATTGTCGCAATCTATGTCTTGATCACCCAATGCCATAACACTGAGGCATGTTGGCTGGGTGATCGAACAACGAAAACGATGATGTCTTACACGCGAACAGCTCTTGTCAATATCGAAATACTTGACTTCATCAATGTCATCGAGACAATCGGAAGAACCATCTCGGATACGAGTGATCGATAGACATGGATTCCATTCGTGGCATAAATCAATTGATTCGTTTGCATTCTGACACTGGGGCGAAGAGTTGTTTATCTGATGACAAAAAAGATCTCTGGTAATTCTGCGTACACTCCAAAATCCTTGATAGAAAAGTAATTTTGTGACAGAGACCAATGATCCGCGACATTTGACTTCTCCCTTGACCAGAATCCGATCTGGTAAGAAATATTTCCAATTTCGTATACGATTAAAGTAAAGAGACATGAATGGAGCGAGCATTGTACCTTTTGGATATGGAATCCAAAGCAAAGAGCAACCGCGTTCGAGTTCATCAGTGCAACTGAAGATGTTCCAGCACCGGCAATCTTCATCCAAAAGTGTAGATAGAGTACATCTAAGTAAACTCTCACACTTTTCCTCTTCCGTTCCATTTAAAAGCAGAGGTATTTTATTTTTTACATCAGCTGTGCATCGACCATTGGGCATCGTCCACTCATGCCCGCTTGCCACAATTTCACAAATAAAATAACGATCCCTTCGATTGTGACATCCTGAACTTACTATATCTGATGTAGGGGTCTTGCGATCAGGAATACATTGTCCATCACCACATGACCATTCGTTCGGTGAACATAAATGATCATCACATTGTATACTTGCTGATTCCATTGCACAACTCGCACTTTTCTTGTATTGCATTTCATCACTCCAATCCATACAATCGAAAGCACCATCAAGAAAATATTCATCTGGGATACACATTCCATTCTTACATCGATATTGACCCTCAGTACAAATATTTAGTTCTAACAGATCACAATTCTCTTCATCATACCCATACATACATTGTTGAACTCCATCACAGATTTCTCGCCAATCAAGACATAATAGACCAGAATCACATGTCAATGTTTCATAACACACAATATCACCATGAATGTGCACCTCTTCTGGATTCTTGTTTTTCACGTACACATACCAATCAAGTGTCTGTTCGACTGTGTTTCCTATTGGGAGTTGATATTCACAGTTCTTTCCAAACGATGATGCTTGAATACATTGACAGAGATATCCATCAGTCTGTGAAGAATTTCGTAGAAATCGTGAATATTGTTCGATCTGCTCAATACTCGATTTCCATTCATGTAAGATGGTACTGATGTTGATGTTCTGTGATCGAAGATCGCTGAAGAAATGCTTGTTTCCTCCGTTGTTCTCACAAGACCAAGAATTGGTGTCTCGATTCAGATCCACCGGTTGGTATGGACGACGGCAATAGTAAAGAGATTGAATAAGGATACAATCAAAGTATTCCACTGCAAGACCATCCTGGGTATCGTAAAGATATATTTGATTTTCCACCAAGATGAAAAGTGTGAAGAAAACCGTTGCTCTACTCTTTGAAATCATATTTTGTGTAGTGAATCCTCGCCTCGAATGGCAGTTATTTGGTTAATGGCAAGAAAATCATAGTATAGAGTGGCGTGAGTGCCATTGTCATGAATTTCAGTCCTGTTCATCTCTGCATTTAAACACGTTCCTCAAAGTCAACACAAAGAGCGATGAATGTGATTTTGTTGGTATTTGTTTCTATTAAATTTTACATCAACTTCTCACATTTCATAATGTGTTCTTTGTATGCTTTTCTACCATTCGATATCCAAACCATTGGGGAATCCATGTAAAACTTCACTGACATAATTTTCAACGCTTCATAGCGATTTCTTAATGATGAATATAAGAAAACGTTTTCAGATATTGTTGAGAGTGTTGGGTGAAGAGAAGACAGTCGCTTAACGTCCACATCCGCACCGAATATGAGTAAGTCCGTACACTAATGAGTGCATTGGTAAACGCATGTAGCTATAATTTTTAACAGAAAGTATGCGTACAATTAAATCCCTCCCCTGCATTAGAAGACCCCGGGTCTTCTAGTATGTCCTAGAGTAAAAATTCTCAAGGGGATCTCCTATTGGGTGTGGGTGTCGGTGTGTGGTGTGGGTGTGGGTGTCGGTGTGTGGTGTGGGTGTGGGGGGGGGTGTGGGGGGGGGGGGGGTGGGGGTGTGGGTGTGAGTGTGGGTCGTTACTCATCCACATCCACACGTGTCCGAACCACGTCGACACCCACACGCACCCACAGTCACACCCACACCCACACAAACACACCCACACCCACACCTACACCTCACACCTACACTCACACCCACACCCACACCCACACCCTCTTGTGTTTTGATCATTGTGATCATATGAATTCAACAGAAATCCAAGCCACCTGATGAGATCCTTAGCGGGATCGAAACTCGTAGTGGCAGCTTTATCTCACCCTCATCATCATGATACTTGAGAGAAAATTCAAAATGTTTAGTGGATTTCTTCATGCAGAGAAACTATTATTTTCATTCAAGTGGAAAAAACGTTGAAGAAAATTGCCTCGATACTATTCATATTTGCTGTGTTGGCAAACAGAATAGAAGCACAAATTCTGGCTGATTTATAAATGCTTCAATGGTCGTATTGATTTCAGTGTAGACATTATTTCAAAAAAGACTAGTTGAGAATGCAAAAAAAATTTACGCGTACAATCACTTAAAACATATTGATAAGGCTGTGCGCAATAATATTTCATCGCTCATAACTATCTTGTGGCAGATACTAATTAGTCCGAAGTTCACGAGATAAGGATAAGTCAAGCACATCATGACACATAATAACAATGATTTAAAAAAACCAAAAATTAAAATTTTAATCATCCCTTTTCTTCGTTGATCTCTCTTTCAGACAGCCTCTCTTAAGTATTTTTTCTCTCTTTATAAACACACTCAAAATTTCAAAAGAGGACTACTTCTACCAAAAAATAGTATCCTTGGTTGATTTTTCTTTCAAAGAAACGTAGACTAATTTCATTATGAAATAATACGCTTGATCATTCTTTCTAGTGCCCAACGATGTCTATATAAGAAACATCAAACGACGTTGAAAAAGAAGAAACTTCTTGCTTGCTGCTTACAATATTGGTAACAATGATGATAATTTCAAGCTTCATCTTCGTACTTTTATTCTATGTTCTGGCTTTCGTGTAGGTGTCGAATCTCATTTTTCATATATTACATGCTTTCTTTTTCTTCTCTATAATAGAAATACTTCGCAAGGACAAAAACCAACTAGTTAGCTGATAGTTACTCTCATTTTTCTCTATTTTTCATTGTTTTTTTTCCAGTTAGTGCAACAACAACAACAGTATGCAATTTCACTATATGTAATTCTCAAAGAGCATCATGTTCATCGAACCTTGATTGCGACTGTTTTTCGTTAACATCGAATGGAAATGCAGGAATCTGTGGTTCAACTGTTTTCTCCTGTGCAAGTGTTGTACGATGCAATATTGATAATGTGACATGTCCCATCGATAACACAGTCTGTGTCAATAGTACACGCTGTGGCCAGCCAGTCTGCTACCCACTAGTCTTCGCAAATAAATTGGTTTGTCCAATGATTGCAACAGGTAAAAGAACTTCTAGTGATCTGTCTTAGCTTTCCTGAACTACAGTGAAAGTGATTTTTTAATAATTTCTCGGAGTAGTTACAACAAGCACGACAGTTAGAGGAACAAATGCTGCAACAACAAAACCTTCAACTACGAGTAAGTGCTTGCGCTTTAAATTGAAGATCAGTTTCTATTAAGGGGTCCCCTCCCTTACAAAAACCAATTTTTTCGAAAAAAGTCGAAGTTGAGATTTCATCATAGAGAGATGCGCTGAAGTCTCCTCTTTCAGAATATATATGCCTTTTTTCCAAAAATGCCAGGTTTTAATAATCTTACCAAAGAAGATTGGGGACCTACTACCATGTTTTTCGAGACATTTTCGAGATTTTCGGAAATTTTTCAGTTTTTGAAAGACATTGATTTTTTATTTTAATACATTGGATTAAAAAAACAAAATATACCGCAAGATACAGCGTGAAAAGCTCTACAATTTACATAAGACCGCTTATTTTATAGTTGTACCTTTTGTTTACAAAATGGACAAAATTCTGAAAATATGTCATTTTAATATGTCTTTTTCGAATTTGAATTAAAAAATCCACTTCTAAATTTGTTTATCATTTTTCTCACAATATGGTTTTCGATCAGAAAAATTGAAATAACTCCCTCCCAGCTCAGTCTATAACCAATATTTTTTTTTGTTTTAAAGATCTCGACGAGAGTAAACTTTTCCTTGACCAGTTTTTTGAAGTCAATTCTTTGACTACCAAAAAGTGGAATTTACTATCGTCGGACCACCATTTTTTATGCTGATTTACAGATCCTGTCACCAAAAATGCTCGTAAAAAATGAATAGAATTGTATTTCAAAATTCCTTTCGATGAAAAGTTGCGCACGGAGGCTAGCTTTAATTTGACACCAGCTCGAGGTCTATAGTATGTGCCGCGACGAGTTATTTCCATTCGAAAAATGTGTCATGAATCAACTGGAACTCCAACTCTAGTACTATTTATAAGGCCGAAGTTTTTACCCGAAGAGTTTCTCACCAAGATCTGTCATCCCTGAAAATTCCAGCCCAAATTGACTATCCTAAGTGGAAAATCATTTCTGAGGAAGGGGGCCCCCTTAAGAGACAGTCTATGAGGGGACCAAGGAACCGAGGCACTAGACAAAAATTAATTTTTCAATCTTTTATGTGCGTTTAAAAGGTTAAAGTCTCAAACCAAAAAAACCCAAATTTTTAGAACATTTGGATGCTCTATAGTAAAGTTAGCAAAGACAGACGTTTGGACACCCAACATCCACTATCAAAAAAGTAGTTAAAAATTATGCCATAAATGTTTACTTCAGTTATACATGAATAAGTTAGAGAATTTTTTCATGC